TCTCTTTGGGGCGCTCGAGGCCTCTCCCCGCGCGCTTCCAGCCAAGTCTTCTTGGCCGCGAGAAGTTCCTCGAGTCTCCGTCGAAGGGACGGAGATGAGGACGCGAGAGGGGGAGTCCGAGGTCTTCCTGGGCTGCCCAGAGAGGTGAGGGGGCCGCAGGGAGAAAGCCGCCTCCCTTCGCCCCAGATCGGGACAGTCGGAGTGCCGCCCGCCCTGCAGTGACTGCTTAAATAAATGAACGACGCTGTTGTTGATGGTGTTTTGAAAAGGAGGACGGGCAAACTCAGGCCCTTCCCTCCCTTTAGCAGCAGACGATAAACGTGGGAATTCTTCAGTTCAGAATAAAAGATCTCATCCCGCTTTCCGCCCTGAAGATACTTCAGTGCTTCCTATCTTCTCCGCATCCTTTGAATCTATTCTTCATTGGGTCTGTCTTCTAGAGAATAGAAAAGATACATGGCAAGGCAAAATATTACATGGCCAGTCCATTAAAAAACTGGTAAGCAAAGCGGATAAGAACAAGACCTGGCAATGGCTGAGAGCAGGAAAGTTGAAAGAGTCGGAGGGCCTTATTAAGAAACATCTTTTTTGAAAATGTATTGGAACAGTGGCCTGAGGAAAGACTTTAAGTGCAGTTTAAGAGAATTAAGTTTAAAGCAGGCAAATGTCCTTTATTTTTCCTGAGTTTGGTGAAGCCAAGGGACTACAAGCTCTAGACCTCCCATTGGCACGGAAGCCCCCTGGGTGACACTGGGACAGTCCCTCTCAGCCCTAGGAAGAAGGTGGCAAGGGTAAACTCTTCTGAAAAATATTGCCAAGAAAATGGCAGGGACTTTCCAGGTAAGTGCCAGGAGTCAGAGCTGGCCTAACGGCCAATCTCATCAAGAAGCAGCAGCAAGGCCATCCTCCCCTTTAAACACACTGTTTTAAATTTTCTTGAGTTTTTTCATTGCTTCTTTCCAGTGACACAGTTAAATTTGATAATGCCCCAAGGACCTATATTGTTTTATTTGATATATAGCCTAGCACTTGGTTATTACAAGGAAGTGGCATATTTATTGGTGTCCCAGCCCTAACTTCAGTTAATCATTTGTATTATTAAAGGTGCATGGTGGAAAGCAGCCAAAATGTAGGTATTGTTTTAGACATTTGCAATCTGACAGCACTTGAGAAGCCTGGTTTAAGAGGCAGAGGGTCCAAGCGTTTTCTTCAAAAGGAAAGGCAGGATTTGGGTCCCCATGTTCATGTTAAGCAGAGGAGTTGCTTGCTTGGGTGAGCAGTTTTTAATGCCAGTTACTCGCTGGGAAAAGGGGGCAGAAAAACAACAGAGCGGAAAGCAGGCTGAAAAAAGAGGTGCTTCCCCTCCCAAGGCAGGGTGCCTGGTTCCTTTCTCTTCCTCTTCTCAGTGACTCAGCCTGGAAAACAGGCGTCAGAACGGCTATTTTCTTTAGGACTGTGCATTGCTCACCGAGGCAGCTGGGACTCTCAGCCTCTTCCAAGCCAAAGACAGGGTCAAAGTTAGCAGGCTGCTTTGGCGCCAGCACAGAGGTGGGGTGTCAGGCAGCACCATCTGTGGATGGGATAGCAGCTTTCTGGGGGGGGGGAAGAACCCTTTGATCCTTTCTGGGGTGGGAAGGGAAACAGCCATCAGGAGTTCAGGGAGCACCCTTGTCCTCTTAGTCAAGGAGTCTGGAGGAAGAGAAGGGGCCAGCAGCTCCGTAGACGCTCAGCGTCGTTCTGTGCGTTGACAGTTTCTCTCCCATCTAACACAACGCAATGTAAAGCAGGATGGCTTGGGACCATCTGCAAAGGAGGTGATGGTAAGGCAGAAACCCTAATTCAGGGGTACAGTGATAGGACAGATATGCACATGCCCCCACAGATACCTTGTCTCACATACACCATAACACAGCTGCATGTATAAACATATGTATATATTGCACTCTTCTATTTCAGGATCAGCAACATTATGCAAAATGCAGGGGGGACATGAAATTGCAAGGAGGGAAAACTAAAGGCAGGACGTGAGAGGACAGAAAAGGAAATTTAGCTCACTCGATGCACTGAACCTTTCCGGGCCTTTCTGTTTTTGCTTCCACCGATACGTTCTCTGCTTCACTCATTTCCTTTTGTTCGTCAAACTTCTCACTTCCACGTAACAAAGACAGGAGAAGCTCGTTCCTGTGTTTTCAGACCTTTTGCAGGTATTAATTCCCTGCAATGGATAGCAACCTGCTCCTTTGTAGCAACATTTGCTCATCTTAAAGTTTCTCTTTTCCCATCTTTAACAAACTTCCAAGGTATGCGCATTCCTATACTTGCTCTAGCTTTTTATGATTTATATATAACCTGCACTCATTCCTTCATTTTTTCCTGTCAACACAATTGCCTTGGTTTTCTATTCATTTTCAGTCAATCCATCCTTGTTGCATATTACAATCTATCTAACATTAGCTGAAAATGATTTCGGTTCTCAGCCAATAACATAGCACCATTTACATACAAAAGTGTATGCATGTTCGTGTTCCCAGCCAATAAGCATTCCTGATATATTCATCCATGAATACATAAAACAACCTTCATTTCTTATGCACTGCTCCTTCCTGAACC